GGGGGGGGGGGGTTGAAACATTTTAAGCCCCATTTTATTGCCTTCCTTGTTTTCAATGTCTTTGAAACTTGGAGGCAATATAAATTGATGATTGGTCTCAAGATCGTCAAGATTTGTTTTTTTAAAAATTATCAAGCGGTTTTTAAATTACCGCGAAATTTGTCGGTGTAGACCAAATTACAGACAAAAATTAATGGTAATGAAAGCAGCCGAATGCAGGCTAATCAAATTCTTCTTTCTCACAATTGAGTCAAATTTTCAGCCATTTTCTCCTTTTCAACCATAACAGCTCAGCTACCATACCCTCTAATGTCCCCTTTTTACACAATAGTATAATAGACAATAGTAGCTGGTTATGAATAATTGGCCAGGGAATTTAAGCCAATTGGAAGCAGAGAAATATTTTGAAAAAACAACAAAGACTGTAAAAAGTACCATTTTCTGCATTATCAACATGGTGTGCCTGTCTGTTGGGAAGCTAAGGGACTTGGGGAACTGGAATGCTGCTGATACAGAGATGCTTTTTCACACACTACAGATACAATTGGAAGCGGTAGCCCAAATATAACAAACATATTATAGATAAGTAAAACAGAAATTCCAATGTACTGTTGCAAATTCTGTCGCCTGATATTGCCTTTACAAAAAAGTGCAACCCAAGAATGTAGGGGATTATCACCCAAACTTTCTTAAGAAATGTCATTTCGGCTTCTACCACGTAGTTTTCCACATACAGCCGGACAAACATTAAAAGAAGCAGAAAAATCAACCAGTCGTAGTCCAGGCTAGTCAGGCTGCAATACCTGCACTGCCGTCCCCAGTGTGAGCCATGCCAAAAATTCTGCAAGATCATAGATCTCCCCCTTATAGCCAGGTATAGTCGACCCCGAACTGTGGATTGAGCATCTCTAGTATGCCTATCTCTATGTAAGTTGACTTGCTGCTGCCAAACACGCTGAACACATTCTTCTGCCAACACATTCAGGTGATGATCAGTCGGGTAACAATTGTCGTAGATTTCCAAAGCTCTTCTGAAAAATGTGGCTGCATCATCAAGTTCATTGCATTGTTCATGAACCAGGCCAAGGTTGAAAAAACTGTCGCCGACTTTACAATGCTCCCTTCCTAAACTGTTGATTCTAATGTTATGTACTCGGAAGTGAAATTCCTTGGCCTTCTCTTGTTCACCACATTCCATACACAGCTGACCGAGATTGACTAGCAAGTCTTCGGTCGCTGGATGTTCTAAGGGTAACACTTTCTCTCTGATGCACAATGCCGCTTCAAAACAATGCATTGCTTCTTCAAATTGACCCATTCCCCTATGCATCACACCAAGGTTTTTGTAGGATTCAGAGATCAAAACATGATTTGGAAAGTATAGTTCCTTTCTCATCTCAAGGGCCCGGTGGTGGTACTGAAAGGCTTCGTCTGTTAAGCCTAATTCACTAAATTCAATTCCTAAATTACACAAACTGTCAGCAATACGGCTGTGCATTTTGCCGTACATCCTCTCTTCTAACCCCAGTGATCTTTGATAAAAGTCTTTTGCACTCTGGTGGTCACCCAATGCACTGTCAACACATCCAAGGTTATTAAGGCAAGAAGCAACAGTGATGTGATCTGTTCCAAAAATCCCTTGTCTGATTTCTAGAGATTTGATGTAGTAATCTTTAGCTTCTTCAAAATGGCCACGACTATAGGAAACGTTTCCAAGTTTGAGCAGAGAATCTGCAATCTCTGCAGTTGGCTCATCTGGATTAAGGCTTTTAAACAGAGTCAGGGCGCGCTGATGGTGATCTTTAGACTTCTCAAACTTGTCTTGCATGCAATACACAACACCTAAACAGTTTAGAATGGTTGCGATCACTTTACTTCTGTTTTCGTCATTACTTTCTCCGTCTTCACAGGTGATCTTAAGGGCGAGTTCAAAGTACCTCTCTGCTGGAAGAAGATAGTCATGCACAAGGCATATGTCACCAAAACTAAGAACTGTGTTTGTGAGCTCTTTGCTTTGGTCGCTTGACATATCAAGCGGAGCCCTCAAATTTCCGCTGAAAATTTTCAGATGAGGGCCAATCATTTTGGAGGAAAAGTGAAATTCAAGGTCATACTGGAGAGGAATGTGTTGTGCAAGAGGAGATAATGTCTCAATGTACGTTTTGGTGAGAACAGCAAACTCCTCTATACTGAGCTTGTCAAGAATGTGTCTTTTAAAGACATCATGGACAACCTTATGCACACCTATACGAGTTCCTGGAGCATCATCTGAGGTTAACGGAATCAGCAATGAGCATTTGGCAATGTCAGCAGCCGTTATGTCCTCATCAAGAGCTGGGTCTTGTTGTGTAACAAAACTGACAATGATACCAAGGTCAATAGGTTCTGGTGCTCCTAAACCCAGAAAGTGGACCACATGTCTAAACACTTCACTTTGGGCTAATTTTTCCACTGCTATCGTTACAGCAGAAGTCATGGACAGCGGGTACCCCCTGTTTGCCCTTTCATAAATCTTCTCAGTCAAATGTCTCTTTCCCATCTTCACTTTCTTCAGGTAATTCTTCCATGTGGAATTTCCCACTTTACTAATATGCAAGAGGTTACGAACGTAGATTGCTGCACAGGCAATGGCTAATGGCTGAAAATCTACTTCCTCAATAACAGAATGCTCCTCTTCCTCATTCTCACTAGAAAAACCGCAGATGGACCTAAGA